TTAGTTGGGGTTTTTTCTTGTTTTTTTTTTCTTTTCTTTTTATTCCCAGCATATCTTAAGAATGATTTAGTTCAAATCAAGATTCTTTTTTTAAAGAAGCAAAAAAACGGAAAAGGATTTCCAGCATGTCCCTCGAGGAGGATGTCCCGGGGCAGACTCAGAACTGACTCCATAGACCATATATATAGTACGTGGCAGTCCCCCAGACCCAAGAAAACACGGAGAGCTTCGATGGGTGCAGTAGATTCGTATTTACTTCTTTCGAAACCAAGTTGTTGAAGTGCACTGAATACACCGTGGTTCAAATACACCGGGAAAACTAAAAGAAAATAAAATACATTTTGCTTAAGTGCTTTTGTTTGACACAAAACATGAATACATTATAATAATAACGCTAACTTAAACTTAAAGAGCTCTAAACATGTACCGCTGTCCAAGAGATGCAAATTAATGGCGGTAAAGTCAGTGCTGTGCTACCTTTAGCCTGTTTACTTGGTTCTGAAGAATGTGCTATAGTCCAGAGTCATTAAGATGAAGAATATCCTCCTCTTCCTCTTGTCCGTGGGATATTTCAGCCCAAAGTGCTGACTGACAAGAGGCTAGCAACACTTCCTCTTATTTTACAGTTTAAATGAAGGCACTAACTCAACATGAACCAAACTACAGCGCTCCTACTGGGTACTATGGGTAATAACCTACAATCGCCACATAAAACATGGAACAGGCATTTACATAGTATGTTACTCTTGTTAAATCCACATGTTTCTGTACAGAAATAATATATATATATATATATATATATATATATATATATATATATATATATATATATATATATATATAAAAATCACCACTTTTAGCATTTGATTGCATTTTGCTTTATTTCATAATTCTGTTGAATACCAGAAGCTGACAAGCTGATAATTAATTTAATCAATAAAAAAATGTCTCCTTAGCTTTGGTTTCTATCACATCCACCTCATTTCCCCCTCTGCACTGTTCCTGATCAGACTATTCTCTATGTGCCAGATGAGAAAAATGCTGTTTAGTCCCCTATAAACGTAAAGCACCACATTGTGGAATACAGTTTCAATTCTGAGGCAAGTGTAGGGATAGACTGTGTGACCCATAGGTAATTAGATATAACTACCTATGGGTCACATAGGTAGTTATGGCCATAGGTATTATGGTCACATAGGTAGTTATGGCTAACTACCTATGGCTTAGTTAGCCATAGGTAGTCCTCATTGGGGCCTCAATGAGGACTGGGGCCACATTGAGCATGACCAATGACCTTTGATGCATGTCTTCCTTCTCTCTCATTACCTGCTTTCCTATCTGACCACTCTCAAATGAAGGACACTAGAGCCAATAAAATATTTTAAAAATTACATATTTTTGAAATACTTGGGGAAAAAAAGAAGGAAAGTTATTTACAATATAGAAATTTTGCACACTGTTTAAGCACTAGGTAGGTCCGTACGTTTCTGCAAAATGATCCAAACATTTTAGTGGGTTTCAACAGAGCTGTACTGGAACATGTAGTCCACAGGTATGAGAGAGGAGTCATGACCAAAGGAAGGAGGTCCTGAATATAACCATCTGATATGAGTTTCCTCTGTAGACTGGTTGAACTAACCCTTAAGAGATGAGGACCTCTTCCATTCGTGAGAAGCACAAAGAAGAGGACCTGATTATGAATACTATGTATATTTCTCTCAATACATATATACATTTCTTTTGATAAATAAAAAAGAGTGTGCATTTTGATTGCATTTTGCTTTATTTAACAAATTGGTTGAATGCCAAAAGCTGACAGAGGCAATGGAATGAAATGAACAACTTTCTGAGCAGGAAGACCTTCTGTAACAAGTTTGCTACACACATTTCTTTGTATTCATAACGTTGTTGATCCACGGAAGATATTTGGATATGTCTGTGTAGACGTTGGGTACATCTGGGTATTTGCAGTTGAAATTTCTGTTGAATGACACGACACCCACAGCTACCCCGTCACACACCAGTGGACCACCGGAATCACCCTGTAATAATACTACCAAGCTTTAGTTTTGAATTGACCAAATTATTTTGTTGCATGTAAAAGGTCAACATGACTTACCTGACAAAATCCTTTGTCTGTGTCGTATCCACCAGCACAGATCACATTTGAAGGAAATGGATTCCCCCATTTCTCCCGACAGAGTTGTGGATTTAAGATCGATACATTCACCACTCTCAGGTCATCCACCGTAGGAAAGTTGGTTCCATTTTGACCCCATCCAGCTACAGAGCAGATCTGACCATCTCTAAGGTTTGCTTTGGAAGATGTTGGAAGTGGAATTATTTTCACCCTGTTATTTAGCGGAACTTCTTTGGACAACTAAAGATGCACAAAAAGACAAATACTAACTTAGATCTTTATAAAACTACCTCCACATTAAATCAATAAAATACACATTAATAGGTGTGCACCAAATGTCACATTGCATGTTGCTTGTATTGGTATATACTTACTTTAAGGAGCATGATGTCAGCACCAAATCCAACGGATTTATAAGTCGGGAATTTGCAGAAGTATTCAATATTCAGGCTCATGTAATTCTCCGATAGCTTGTGGGTTCCCAGAACAACACGGTTAGGTTCACTGAAAAATTAAATGTTAAAATTCTTATGAGGGGGGACATTGTTATGGTCATCAATAAGAAACAGACATAGAAGAGGAACTCACTCTTCAGCACAGTGTGCAGCAGTGACCACAATGTCCTCCCTGACCATAAATCCTCCACACACATGACCCCATTTGTTTTGCAATGAGACCATATACTGCATCGAGTTGGCTGGGGCTTTTTTCCCATGTATGATGTAACTCCCCTGGACTGAAAAATACAGGCAAAGATTAGCAATTGGCTCAGTGAGACAGTTGGAGAAAGACAATCGGGTTACTCACCAGTTTGTCCAAGACATGCTAGAACATTGAAAAACAGAAATGTAGACAAACGGTGCATGATGCCAGCAGATCCAACTTGTGGTCAAAGGATTGTTTATCTGGGCCTTTTATACAGCTGTTTGGCTTACAGGCAGTCGTTATCTACATCAATCTGTTTTTTCTTTTACACCCACATCCGTCAAAGTAACCTGTTTTCAACCAGTATCATCTTTTTTAGCCCTCACCAGTCTGAGTCAAGTTTGACTCCAACTGAATGAGTTTCATGTGAACTGTTACATTCATGAGATTATCATCTTTGCTGGTTTGCTTAGAACCTTTCTCCCACTTTAATTCACAGCTGATTCTTTGGAACTCTGCAAATTTCAAACAGAGCCATTTTCTTAGATTCTCACAAATACATTTGTGGTTTAGACTACCATCAAACCAAATCATACTGCTGTATAATTAGTAAGTAAATCTGTGCCATTTATTTCACCACTAATAAAATAATAATTACAAACCTGACATAATTTTATTTTATCTCATGGAAAAATTGTTATAATTATACATTCAAAAAGCCAATCAGTCCATTCTCTCTCAACCAATATGATTCTTCACCGGCATTTGTTGATTAAACCAACATGTTATGAACCAAACTAACATAAATTGGAGAAACAACAAAGGACAAACTAATTACCTTGACTGATGAGACAAAAAATGTGTAAAATAAAAGGGAAATGTTCATTAACCTTTTTAGTATTGATGAAGCCCAAAATAGCAATGTATTTTATTTAATCAGAATTTCATGAAATCTTGCATGAAAATATCTCGAGTTAATTCTTTTTTTTATGTGTCAGTAGATTTTTAATGTGTCAACAGATTTACTTTCACAATTGGAGCATTATGGATTTTGCTACTTGATAAATAAAATAGAACTTTATTTAAGGACAACTGACTTAACACAGATGAAAAAGAAAGGAGGAAAGAAAGGGAGAAATGTGAGGGAAGGGTTTGAAAGGAAAGGAGTTAGGGAGAGAAATAAGCACAAAGAGAACACAAGTCAAGATCTTCAAGTCTTCCTGTAAACCTGCAGAGAAAACAGAAAAAACAAAACCAAGGAAACAATGAGCAACATAATGATAAAATTTAGAACATCATTGGAAAGTAGATGGTAATACAAGACGTATTTAGTGGGAACCACGGCCCAACTGGGAGTGTATCTGACAAGCATCTGAATCTGAACAATTGTGTGTTCTTTGCTTTATTAATTTGTCTGGTTTAAGATGAAAGGTGGGCTTAAAGTTATCTCTCTTTTACATATGTTCCCTCCCAGTTGGAAACTAGTAGTGAAACTTTCATGGATGTGTCAGTTCTAGCCTTTTAGACTTTCAGGACTTTTCTCTATAATCTGCTGGTCATTTATTTAGAACATCACAGGCCAAAGGCTAAGAATATGTAGAATAGTCTTTAAAGGTATCTTCTAAAATCACACCATTGCCAAAAGAGCATATAAAATGCTTTAAGACTCAAAAGCTCCGGATAATGCAGCACGAATGGTAAAAGAGACCTGCATTGAAAGAAATTGTGGTAAAACCATGTACAAGGATGGCTTAGCAATAATTGTAAAGTACATTTGGAAGCTTGCACCCAAAATAATCTCCTACCAGACTTTCTCTGGCAGATTCATGTGTGCTGCAACAGGAAAGCATCTAAAAATGCAGGATACTGGTCCATGAGGACTTCGTCGAACACCTCTTACCTAGAGGCTGCATTGGTGTACTTGCAAATCCACACATTACTGTAATCTAATATACTGTACCATATTAACACTGGGATGCCAGAAATTTCAGATTTCTATTTGAAAAAAATCATGGACCATTTTCCTCCCTCTTTAGAACAGAGGTAACATTGTGAATTTACTTGAGTCAACCTAGTTGTAACATTGATTTCATCAGTATGTGTTGCAGGTACCTCCCACCATGACTCAAATCAGTAACAGAAACAGCACACCCTTAACGGTGTGAAGAAGTTATTTTGTTTATGGTGTTTGAAAATAAAAGAAACAGCTGACGACATTCGAAAGCGTTTTGTTTTATTCAGCTGAAGAGCAGAAGAGGATGACATCGACCTAAATGGAAGCCACAACTTCACCGCCCACATGCCATGAGCTGGAACAATGCTTCACTCTAAAGATTTGCACAACCACATTTCTTTTCCTTTACAGCATAGTTGAGCCACTGATGATATATAGAAACTTCTGTGTAGATGTTGGGTGTATTTGTCCAGAATGTCCCACGAGGAGGACGTCCCAGGGCAGAACTGACTCCATAGACAATATAAACAGTATAATACTCTTGTTAAATATATACTTATATGTTTCTGTTGAGAAATAAAAAAAATCTCACTTTTAGCATTTAATTTCATTTTGCTTTGCTTTATTTCATAATTCTGTAGAAAACCAGAAGTTGACAAAGGCAATGAAATGAGATGAACAACTTTCTGAGCAGGAAGACCTTCTGTAACAAGTTTGCTACACACATTCCTTCGTTTTCATAACGTTGTTGATCCACGGAAGATATTTGGATATGTCTGTGTGGACGTTGGGTACATCTGGGTAGTTGCAGTTTAAATCTCTGTTGAATGACACGACACCAACAGCTACCCCGTTGCACACCAGTGGACCACCGGAATCACCCTGTAATAATACTACCAAGCTTTAGTTTTGAATTGACCAAATTATTTTGTTGCATGTAAAAGGTAACATGACTTACCTGACAAAATCCTTTGTCTGTGTCGTATCCACCAGCACAGATCACATTGGAAGGCAGGCCACCCCATTTCTCCCAACAGAGTTGTGGATTTAAGATCGACACATTCACCACTCTCAGGTCATCCACCATATGATGGCTGGTTCCAGTTTTACCCCATCCAGCTACAGAGCAGATCTGACCGTCTCTAAGGTTGTCATTGGAAGACGTTGGAAGTGGAATTGTTTTCACCTTGTTATTTAGTGAAGCTTTCCCAGACAACTGAAGATGGACAAAAAGACAAATACTAATGCAGCTATTTTTTTAAATAATTTGACTAAAAATAAAATAATTTAAAATTATTTTCCTCATCTGTAACTCCATACTGGTAAATAGCATGTACTTATATAATGTTTAAACTAATCTAGAAAACTCCAAAATTATTCTCTCTACATTCAGAGCGTCATAATTTTCTTCAAAACATCTGCACAATTGATGAACTGAGACTGAACTTTCACAATTAAAAATTTGCACATCTGGGTGTGCTGTGGTGACACAGGGGTTACACACAACCCATGTATGGAGGCCTCAGTTCTCGACGCAGCTGTCGCAGGTTTGATTCCAGCCCTGGTGACCTTTGCCGTATGTCTTTCCCCCCTCTCTCATTACCAACTTTCCTGTCAATTAACTATCAAATAAAGGCCACTAGAGCCAATGAAACCTTTAAAAAAATTTTTTTGCACACCTTGATCTTCTACTACCTGATCCTAAGAGCAAAGGTTTAAATGGTGATTGAATTGTGTGAGTAGTTAAACTTCTCTAAACACTACAATGGCACTCTTCCTCCTTTGTTTTGCTCCAGAATATTTACACATGCTAAATATTCATAAGAACATTTAGTACGTCTATAACGTATTAGTCTGAAATGTTAAAATTAGTTATAATGGTGTAATCATATTAGATGATTATTTTTTGTTTACCATTATTTATAAAGGTGACATCACTGCAATATTTTATGTGGGTTGATATAAAAGTCAATATGGGATTTGGGAAAAATTATAAAAAATATCAATACTTGTCTGTAACTCCATATAGCTGCTGCTTGCTACTACAACTGCTAGCGATAATAATTTTGTTGCTGATTATATTTATGGTGCAGTACAACTGATTTATGCTGGATCGTAATACGTTTGTACATAAGTAAAATGTAAGACAAACACTTTTAACACAAGTGTGACAATATTAATAACTGATGAGTTTCTCCACAGTAACCATACTGAAACTTGTGTTATGGACCTTTCATGAACACATACTTACTTTAAGCAGCATGATGTCATTGCCAAGTCCAACATTTTGGAAAGTTGGGAATTCGCAGCTGTACTGAATGTTTATTTTTTTTACATTTGAACTTTTGATATTATGATTTCCCAGGACAACCAGATCGGGTTTACTGAAAGTATTAACAGTAAAGAGGTTATTACATACATTTGCAACAAATGAACTCTACTGTTAGTGGGATGCAACAATAGAACAAGGAATCAGACTCACGGATTATTGCAGTGAGCAGCAGTGACCACAAAGTCCTCACTGATCAGAAATCCTCCACATACATGTTTTCCATTGCTCTGCACTGAGACCATGTACTGCATTGAGTTTACAGGAGCCTTTTCCCCATTTATGATGTGACTTCCATGAACTAAAGAGTAAGATAAAGGACAAAACCAGTTCAGAGGCCTGCTTTAGTTATTTATGGATAAAAATATGTGGACTTCTCACCTGTTTGGCAGAGAAATGTCAGCACCAGGAGACGCTGGACTTCCTTCAGTCTGAACATGATGCCAGTCAAGCTTGTTCTAGCTGTGCTGTAGTTTGTCAAGCTGACCTTTTTATATCGTAGTTTCCTTTCCTTGTACGTGCTATTATCTATGGAAATCTATATTAGCTTCACATCTTACCACATCCCCCTTAAAAGCACACTGTAGCTCGACAACGAGAATTATCTTTTACAATCTTTGAATACTCAGAAGTCAATGTACTACGAACATGAGAAACGTTTCTTGCCAGCCTTCTCCACATTTTTAAGCATCACAATGCTTTAATGTAATTGCCTATCCCCTTTAGGTTGTACTTTCATTTTTCTTGTTCACATGTTTATAAATGCCACCAAGTTAAAGTGATGTTATTTAAAAATCTATAGTTTTTCATTGAAATGCAACACAATTTTCATCAGATACAGTTTGTTCACTCAGTTGTACACATTGCCAGTAGTGGGTGGTGCTATAGCTATATTTAGTCACTTACTATAAGATAGTAACTTTCTGAAAACAATGTACTAACAAAAGTAGTTTTACTGCACCAATTTTTTTCCCCTTCAACTTGAAAACGATTACTTATGAAGAAAATTCATTCTTATGTGACTACAATTGCTGGCTACTCCACTAAAAATTATAGTTGACCTTTTAACCAAAAATTGCAGCATACAGAAGCATTTAATTGTTTCTAGAGATTCTCCCGGTCTGTCTATAAGACAGGCAAACAAAACAGAAAACAGTACATATTGTCACTGGAACTACTTTTCAATATTCCAACGTGCATACATTACCCACTGTGGTTTAAAAGATTGTTTTATATATCTAAAAAGAAGCAAACATTTCTTTTTGCTGGCTTCAGGAAAGTAACTTTGTTTATGGAAATAATTTGACATCTTTCACTGAAAAACATTGCTTTTTTTTTTTCTTCTTTGACTCAGTGTATCAATATAGCCCGGTTCCCACGTGAACACAAGTTTTAACTCCGTATTTGACCTCCAGCTCTGAATTGTCCATCCCTCTCACACTCATACAACTTAGCTTTTATCCAGAACTTTATCAAGCTTAGATAAGAAACTGCAGCTTGTTATACACATGCAAAAATATATCGGAAAGTCAAGTCATAATATAATTTAAATTTAGATTCAAAAAAGCAATGTGAAATTATTGTTTTCCTGTCACACCTTCCTTAATCTGTTCATCTACCATATCTTATTGTGCACAGGTTCCTGTTCCTGTTTGCTCTTACCATCTTACTTTTTAACCTTTTGGAAGATTTTGATTGCTTTTTTTTTGGATGAAAACAATGAAAAAGATTCAAGGTTCTGTTACTGACTGATAGATGCCATATCCACCAGCACTGATTGCGCTGGGAGAATATCATAATTACATATTCATCTGTTCAACACTGAGGGAATGACATGAGAAATGGACATTATGTACAGGAGATTATGTAACTACCCTGTCAACTGCAACAGACACATTACACTGGTAAAAATATAATTTCATTTCGCACTGATCTTGCGTTTTCTATGCCTTTAAATCATTGAACAGTCAAAGACTGCACAACAGAAACACTTACTTAATTCTTAACTGATAAATGGTGATATTTTGTTAAAGGTTACAAATGTGGACCAGGGTGGGAAGGCTATGTCATGAACTCATGATTCATTACTGATCACAAAACATACCCACACTGCTCATTCTTTCTAAAGCCTAACATCAGTCATAATGTCGTCTCAGCAGTGCGGTTAATCGTACTTCTCTTGCTTAAACGGTAAAGTTTTTTTTTTATTTTTTTTTTTACGTGTGCTTTTTGCTTCTTGGTGTAAGATAATGTAAATGTAAATATGTTTATTCATTTGTCCCTATGTATGTGTGTATTTACAGCTGGTTGACTATGAATTGCACCGTAATGGAGCTGTAGTTTTAAAGTTTAGACAAATATTGTTTTGTTTATCAGGCAAATTTAACCATTTCATTTTCCTTGCTGAGGTAAAGTAATTATTTGTTGCATCTTGCATTGTCAAAGTGATGACATTCGCACATGTCTCTGTTTTATTTGAAAAATAGATTAAATGTCTTTGGTGGGGAGGTTCACCAGGCAAATATTTTTATTTTGTCTGCATTTTTTTTCAATCTCACTCCCATGGACTTAAAGATATTCAAAAGACAAATACTAGGACAAGAGTTTATTCAACATCTTGAGATTAAAGCGGCACATTAGCAAAACTGCCACAATTTCTGCTTCAATGTACAGTGACAGTGAAAAAAAAAGAATTATATACATTTCTTTTCATTCACAACTTTGTTGAGCCAATGAAGATATTTAGAAATATCCGTGTAGACGTTGGGTAAATCCGGGTAGTCACAGTTGAAGCCTCTGTTGAATGACACAACACCAACAGCTCTTCCATTGCACACCAGAGGGCCACCAGAATCACCCTGCAAAGATCAAGGACTTAACGTTTGACATTTATCACGATGTTTAGACTATTATTTCTGATCAAAATACAAGAAGCAGACCTGACAAAATCCTTTATTCATACCAAATCCACCAGCACAGATCACATTGTGAGGAAGGAGATTGTCCCATTGCTTCTGGCAGGTTTGTTGGTTTATGATTGCCACGTTCACCATTCTCAGGTCATCACTATGATCAGTTTGCTCAGTTTTACCCCATCCGGCCACAGAGCATTCTTGATTATCTCTTAAGGAACTCTCAGAAAAAGGAAGGGGAATTGTTTTCACGCCATTGTTTAGAAGAACTTTCTCAGACAGCTGAAAAGACACAAAAAAGGAACATTAAGACTTTTTAACCTGTTTTTTTGGCAAATCCAGAGATATTTGTGTACAATAAGTGTGCTTTGCTCAGCATACTTACTCGAAGAATCATGATGTCTTTGCCATGTCCTGGGTCCTCGTACCCCTGGAGTTTGCATGTGGAATTGATGCTCACTTTTTTTATCTTTGAACTCTTGAGGTTGTGGTCTCCCAGAAGAACGTATTTCAGTTGACTGAAATTTTTGTAATTAAAAGTTTATTTCAAAACCAGTTTTGGCTCAACAGTCAAGCAGAAAATACAAACAGAAGAATAAAGAAAACTCACTTTTCACCACAGTGTGCTGCAGTGACCACATATTCCTCATTGAGCAGGAATCCTCCACATTCGTGACCTACATTGCTTTGCACTGAGACCATGTACTGCATCGAGTCCTCTTGGACTTTTCTCCCATGTATAATCCTATTCCCATAGACTGTGAAAATATTCAAGAGGCAAAGATTAGGATGAGGCTTTATTCAGCATCTTAAGATTAGATGTCAAGCTAAAGTCTCTTACCAGCTTGTCTGAGACATGACAGAATGCTGAGCAGCAGGAAATAACCCATGCTCTTCATCATGTCAGCCAATAAGGCGTTAGGTTTTTGGAAGGTGAAGTTGCTGCTTTTATGCAAAAGTTTGTGCCTAATGTTTGCATATCTGAGGCAATCTTTACACCACATCCCCTTTCAGAATACGTGTAGTACTTTGTGATATTTGAACTTCTGTCAGTCTGATGTAAATCAGTTAATTGTCTTGAGGATTTCTCACATTTGGTCACGTTGATTCGCCTCTTGTCCTGTCTTTTATGCTTTGTTCTACTTAGTTTTGATATTGCATATTTGGACTTTTAGATGATTATTTCCAAATCCAAACCATTTTTACTCCACAGACTTTCTATCTGTACACCCTGTCAGAACTAACTTGACCATCTTTTTTTTTTTTTTCTCTCCTGCTTCTTCACTATTGGCCCGGCTTTTTGTGTTAAAATGTCAAAAATGTCCTGATCATGATTATTATTATTATTATTATTATTATTATTATTATTATTATTATTATTATTATTATTATTTTAAAACCAATCCATGTAATTTGTGAATAGACACCAGGTGATGCTGAGTTACAGTCCAATAATGCTTTTAAATGAATAAACTCAGAATTCTGAATCTTTATTTTGCTGCTGAAGAACGCCACATTTTATTAGTGTTTTAGCTCACCTCTCTTCAATGATGCTCTTGACATGAGCGTTCTTGATGACCACAAGACGACTTAAATGAAGGTCGTGCCTGCAAGACTTTTGTAATATGTTTTAGGAAATCTCTGCTGTTTTGTTAATTAAAGGCTTTTTAACAGCTACTGATAAAAATGAAAGTTTACCTACACTTTATTAGAGCATTTTCTCTTCACTTAAGCAATTTAAAATCAGGATGCTAATTGTTAGCTTCTCGGTATTCCAACTACTGACCTTTATGCCTTCCAGCAGCTAACAAAGCTTAGCTAATAGCTGTTTTTCTGTTTGATGAGCAATGCTTCAATGCTAGATTTTTAAAATAATTATTTACACTGTCAAAAAGCATCTTGCAAGTCTTTACACCATGATCAGTATGGATAATGCTACAAAAGATGACATCTTAGCTCTGCAGCCACGGCTTGAACGCTGGTATCGGTTCATCTTTACATGCAGACTGCAAAGCAATATCTGACAGGAAGCTTATTTTAGCACAGCTCTCTGATCTTCTTTTGTGATGCACTGACAAAAAGAGCTAAACAAAGTGAAAAAGGGACAGCTAATAGTGTTGCTGTTGATTTGTTAACTGATAAATTCATAATTTATTTGTATGTCATGCTTTCATACTCGATGCATAAAAAGTTAAGCACAACAGTTTTTTATGAAGGAATCTGTCAAGATTACGCCTACTCTGAATCTACAACAAAGACTTATTTACTTAATATTCAAATTCAGTAAGTCTGTTCAATTCTTATTTCCTTGGTAGTTCTATTTTTACGCATACCTTAATTTGTGGACTAATTTATTGTGGCATAGCACTTCAGTCTCCATTTTAGAAAATGCCCACAATAATGCTGTGGATACATAAAAACGTGTTTTTTCTGCATAGAATTGTTTGGTTGTTACCAACATATTATGAGAATTTCAGGTCCAGCCTGATTAGAAGTAAATTTACTGAGAAAAGTGTATGTAATATGTATTTTCTTTGATACATTAACTTCACTATATGCTCAAACTACATCG